GAATGAGGAGAGAGTGGGGTAGATCCTGCGAGGATTCTTGCACTATAATCCAGCTTGAGTTACCGTGTTTGCCTTCAGCTTGCTGAAGCTCGTGGTGGACATGGTCGCAATCGACGGTCGAACTGTCTGGTAGGGATTTACTGTGGGTTTAGGGTTAAAATTTGGGTTAGCATAAAGGTGTGGATCATGGGTAGGAGAAGTTCATCTGTTCCCTTCCTCAATTTAAAACAAAGCCACCTTTTTTACCTGGAGGGCGTTTTTATTGCGATCGGAGGATGCATATCATTAAAATTGAAGTAAGTTCCACATAAACAGCAGTCCTTTAGAATCCTATTTCGATCAATGCATGTGGACACTCTGATTGCTTCTACCTCATTTTTCTCCTCCTAATCAACCTGCCCGTTCGTGTTTAATGCATCTTAAAGTTCTGATTGCTCCCTTCCCTCCTCACTTGACAGTACTTTTCTCCAACGTTGCCTCTCATGCAGTAGCAATCATTTATCTCAATTTCTCGTAACCTCCACAACGACTCAAAACGTCTTGTCACCATCATCCTGACGTATACTGCGTTCCGATCAATAGCTTACTCACATTCCATTAAATATCTTTCATTGACAGACTAAGGTGTCTGATGATCTACGTGGAATATGAGTAAGAAAATAGCATTTCAGAACTAAAGGGTTTGTTATGCTTCGTTATTTGCTCGGACTGCGTTCTCATCAGTCTGTAAATAAAGTTTCATCTGCCGCATAGACTGAAAGCCAGTGACCCTTCTTCTTCGTATCTACTGTAAAAGTTAGCTTTATATCTGTATGAATCGGCTTAGTAGCGGTGTAAGGTAATTTTATAAGATTTTCAGATGAGGATGTTGGAATAATTGAAGATATCTGGGGATCTGTGCGCTCGTTTTCAACGAAGTTCTTCGACAGTTTTGTTTAACGCGCGTCACTTGAGTCGCATTCTATGCGGCGTTCAGGTGAACGCGGGGGTTGGGTAACATCGGACATCCATACAAATCACGTATGGTGTAGCACGTTAATAACTTCTTATAACAACGCGTGTATTTACCTGTCTCTAAAATGCGCAGTGTTGTTCCAAAGTGAACTCACAGATAAAACATAACTTAATAAGGGGCATGATAGAACCAAAGAGATAACCGCTATAATTAGACCATAAAGTTTTGCATGTGCGAGGAATAATGCGTGTCAAGCACCAGATCAATTTATTTATTGTTCAGAGCCTTCGAACTCCTACAGGAGTCCATCTTTAGGGATGAGAAAACAACCGAAAAGAGGGTAATTATAGTGGCCATAGGCCAATCAACTATCAGAAATCATCAGGGTGTTAAGGAGTTAAAAAAAGCAATCTCCGGGCCGCTAGTTTGTGCTCGTGAAGGCGGGTCTGCAATTTGCGGCCTATTTCTCCAACGTGATTGCAGTCTCCCTCGTTGCAAAGTACCTTGTAGACGACTGCAGAGGCTTCTGTAGGAGGCAGTCTGTCTTTAGGTTGCATCATCTGGCGGCGTTTTGCAGAAAAGTATCCAGTATAGAGCCTAGAGCAGGCAGCTTTTCCCAGCGTGCTGAGAGAACGTTCAAACCCAGAGAAAAAACCCAGAGAAAGCGCCAATATATAATTATTTAAAAATTGCAGCCGGAGGTCTGTTCAACTTCTCTTTCAAGAAGAGACGGGCCGATACTATGATCCGAGTTAACGCATAGTCAAATCAGCTACATTTTCATGATAATGAATATTTAATTTTAATAATCAACGGAGTTGTTGCTCCAGAAAATGATTTATTAAAGAGTAAAAGTCTGTGTGTTTCTTGTTCACGACGGACTGAAAGTCACCACTGCCACTAAGTGCTGAGTCTCTTAAATGGCTAGCCAACCTAACAGGATTGAAACCACTGTGAATTATAGTAGTCATAGGCAGTGGGGCGCGCCTTGCCTAGTAGCTCTACTGGTCAAAGATTGATACATTTTATTTTCTCTTTTTATCAAAGTTTGGCGCTTCAGTGTCAACAACTGGAAAGATAAAATATTTGCTTTTACCAAATATATGGTCTAACAAATATCAAGAACGCCTGGAAAATATAATGGCATAGAAGGGTAAACGGTATTATGAGTTGGTTTGCCTTAAGGAGCATGGCAAATAGCTTGATCAGCGATGATGTTATGGTCAGTTAACCATGCAAGCTCGACTTCCTCCTCTCACGAAACGACGGAAATGGCTAACTTGGCAATCTGTCAGCTTCTATTCTTATTTTGCTATTCAGTAAACTCTTACAACCGGCAGCAAACATGACTGCTTGAGAGTTTACCTAATTAACTCCAGCACCGAAAATGCAGTCAGCGAAAATGCTAGACAAATGGAAACGTTAAACATACAAAAACGGAAAAACGTGTTTGTAAGGCGGCCGTAAATGCTGAAACAAAAAATCGAACACAGGCGAGCACTCACTCGTCCCCTTGTTCTTTTTGGGGCCTGAGCTTCGCAGGCACTCGTATCGCGAAGTGCTCCCTGTGACACGGCTTTGCTAAAAAAAGACAACGGAGACTGAAATGATCCTTTCTGGTTCGCTTGGCGTCGACAGCCGGCCAAACTCAACCCGGCACATTGACCGACACCTCCTAAAGCGCATAGGCTCAGTGACACCAAAGCTTAGTTTTCCTCCCACTGCACTTATTATGCTTTTACATTACAGTAACTTGTTATGAGTGCGAAAGCCGAAAGTCGGAAGATAGGACTGACTAGCTGGCCAAAAAGCAGACACCCGCGGGACTGTTAATATTCCCAGCAGACAGATGAAGCCACTGCCTGAAGCTCAGTGTCAGAAAACGGTTTCACCATTTTTTCGGTCTGCATGGGCTGTGCACAGTTGCGTGGTGCCATCGTCTAGGTAGGTGCGTAGGCAGTAGGGCATGCGTCTACCGGTCCCGGCACTAGCCAGTCTATCCCGCTGTTTGAACGTGCGGCCGACATATGAGTCACTGCCCAAACGCCTGTTTCCCCTGCGCATTTTATAGGCTGGTAATGTGTGGGCAGTTGGAGGGTAATGCCACGTAGGCTCTTCCTGCTCGTCTGGTCTAATTTAACAAAAGAAACAAAAATTTACGAGATTGGATTTCGCGATGAAAGAACGTATTTTAACCCACCTTCTTCGCCTAACTAGGTTGCCAAGCTAAAATTGAGACCTTTGGTGTTGTGATCAATTTTGCAGGGCTTAAATATTTGAAGACACTATCGAAAATAGTGTTACCATTTGCAAGCAGTATGCATTTTGGTAACTGGGGTGATTCATTTAATGTAAACGCGGAGCTAGAATAATTTGTAATGCACGTTACAGTGGGGCTATAGGTCATAATTTCACTTTCATCAAGCTTACTGTTGGCATTTTGGTGGTAGTGGTTGTTCAACAAATCTGCCGATGTCTCCTGGTTTATTTCTGTTGTAGCTTCCAGTTGCTGCCATTTACCTCTTCTTAGTTTCAGCATTCTTTTCCTATTGTGTCAAACTCCTAGGATTGTCTGTGCGTGTATGCTTGTTTGATATGGACGTATAACCGGTTACTCTTAGAATTAATTTCGGTCTGCGCTCAGATACTCCGCAGTTTGTGGCTTATACTACTGGAGTCACTCAACGCAACGTTAAAACCAACGAAGATGGGTAATTATCCTTATTGCTTGACAAAGGGCATCGGCTACAGAGGGCACAAATAATGGAGCAGTTCACTCGATGGTTGGTTGGCCTGTTGGTGTTGGTTATTCCTTTGAACATCGTAAAGTACCTCTACGTAATATTCGTTAATGGTCACTCTTCCCTTAGGACAGACATTTCGCCTTTCATTCATTCAGATCTCACCAACAAATCTGGCAGAATAACGCAAAGGTCCGCCACTACCATCTGGTTTTTGAGACATAGACATCTGCAGGCGGGCTTTATGGGTTCTGTGCCCTAGAAATTTAAATATTTCAAGCAGTTTGCGTTTTATGTATACTTATTGTAAACTAATTTTGTTAGATAATTGAATTAAGGGCAGTCCGAAAACAGGCAAAAATCTAAACGATAAAAATAAACCAGAATTCGGCATTTCTGGCATAACCGCCTGTCCGTATTCCTCCATGCGCAGATTCATTCCGAAGGGCAACAGATTAAGTTACCCTTCCCGCCGGTAGATGGAGTTTAGAAGCTCTAGTCAATTCCGCAGTGTGTAGTGGCCTAGGTTCACTTTCCGCCCTAGTCAACAGAAAGGAGTCAAAAAATACTTTCTACCGAATCGTTCCAAAGGAGAAAGTGTACATTACTGACTTGCCTTCTGCGTTCACTCTAATTTGTACCTCTAACAAAGTCCGTGTCAGTTTTATTTTCTGGAAAGGAAGCTCATACACGTATGTGTTGAAGATTCTGTGACACTGTCAGTAGGTCCTCAAGGTAATGTTCTTTTCCGTACGCCTCCCAGTAATAAGCAAACGTTGGTTTCTATTGCGAATTAAAATGCAATTGTACTAACTGTAAAAATGTGTTTCAAGTTCTCCAATATTGAACCGATGGTACTCGAACAGAACAGGGTTTCTACTGTGATTTCTTTTGAACACCCTGTAGATTAACATCTACACATCCTGCGCAGCAACACAACCAATTGCTTTTCACGTGGAGGAGAATGTGCGTCTTTTAGGACAACCCCTCTTCCGAGCTGGGGCATCTGCATTCCTCCTGAACAGTGGCCTCAAGAAAGTGCCTGCCTACTTCCAAGTAAGCGCCCAATAAGTGGCTCACTTCATTTCATCTTGTGCCTTTATAACTCCTTTTGTAAGGTTTTGTGCGCTCGGTCGGTCGGTCGCAGGTTTCTGTAACCAAAACTGCAAAGTGTCGAGGTAGCTGGAGGCATTCAAATTTCCTGACGTACACTCTTGCTTAAGTTAAAGGAGAGGAGGATTTAATAATCGATGTTTCCTGCCCGCGGATGGGAGAGGAATATTCTGAAAGACGACTTAAACTGAGAATATGGCAGCTCACATGCGCTGTTTATCCTTTTGAATGACTTATTAGGCTCGTTGGCAAATGCCAAGCACGGGGCTTATTCATATCTTTTAATCTAGGCTTTACAGATAGGGAAGTCATGCTGACGAAATCCAGAGCTGTGTCGCCTATCGAGCTCTCATGCCCCCGGATTAAGATATTATCTTAATAGAGGGTGCCGAATAGCGTTCAGTACCAAGAAATGCTAAGCTTAGTAAATAGGGTTAACCAGACTTCAGATTTAGTTCGGTCAACTCAAGGTGTCTGCGTTCATCTGCATGTGCCTGCCTAGCAGGATAATTTAACACTATGTTCAGTCAGAGAATGTTTAAGCTGTTTATCAAGCGCGCCCTGGCATTGTAGTATTATGCGTCTTGTACTATGCCGAAGAGCGTTTTATCAAAGATACCGTTATTTATATGCATATATATACATATACATACATATCTGCATATTTGCTACTGTATACCCCCGATCTAATACTGGAAAGACTGCGAGCTCGTGGCCCAAGGGTTAGGACGTTCGCCTCTGACCGGAGAGACCCGAGTTCAAAACTCGAGTGTGGCAGCAATTTCAGCGGCACCACTTCAGTTTGGTATCACTAGCCGATGACGGCAAATGAGCTGGAAAAGGCGTTCATCGTTTCCCAATTCTTTGCTGGTAATGTCCTT